TCTTCCACGTACCGTACGTTTAGACATCAATCATTGACTGCAGCGGTTACAGAAACGTGATCGTCGTCGTCCGCAATCGCGGCAAAATCATGAACATTTCCCACGGCCGAGCAGATATCATCGTCGTCTCCCGCGGTCACGGAAACGTCATCGTCGTCGTCCGCGATCGCGACAAAATCATGAACATTTCCCACGGCCGAGCAGATATCATCGTCGTCTCCCGCGGTCACAGAAACGTCATCGTCGTCTCCCGCGGTCACGGAAACGTCATCGTCATCTCCCTCGATCGCGGTAAAATCATGAACATTTCCCGCAGCCGAGCAGATATCATCGTCGTCTCCCGCGGTCACGGAAACGTCATCGTCGTCGTCCGCGATCGCGACAAAATCATGAACATTTCCCACGGCCGAGCAGATATCATCGTCGTCTCCCGCGGTCACGGAAACGTCATCGTCGTCGTCCGCGATCGCGACAAAATCATGAACATTTCCCACGGCCGAGCAGATATCATCGTCGTCTCCCGCGGTCACGGAAACGTCATCGTCGTCTCCCGCGGTCACGGAAACGTCATCGTCATCTCCCTCGATCGCGGTAAAATCATGAACATTTCCCGCAGCCGAGCAGATATCATCGTCGTCTCCCGCGGTCACGGAAACGTCATCGTCATCTCCCGCTGTCACGGAAACGTCGTCGTCCGCGATCGCGGTAAAATCATGGACATTTCCCGCGGCTGTTAAGACATCACCGTCATCTCCAGCGGGCACGCAAACGTTATCGTCATCGTCCGCAATCACGGCAAAATCATGGACATTTCCCGCGGCCGTGTAGACATCATCGTCGTCTCCCGCGGTCACAGAAACGTCATCGTCATCTCCCGCGGTCACGGAAACGTCATCGTCGTCGTCCGCGATCGTGACAAAATCATGAACATTTCCCGCAGCCGAGCAGATATCATCGTCGTTTCCCGCGGTCGCGGAAACGTCATCGTCGTCTCCCGCAGTCACGGAAACGCCATCGTCGTCATCCGCGATCGCGGCAAAATCATGAACATTTCCCGCGGCTGTTCAGACATCACCGTCATCTCCCGCGGTCACGGAAACGTTATCGTCGTCGTCCGCGATCATGGCAAAATCATGAACCTTTCCCGCGGCCGTGTAGGCATCATTGTCGTCTCCCGCGGTCACGGAAACGTCATCGTCGTCTCCCGCAGTCACGGAAACGTCATCGTAGTCTCCCGCTGTCACAGAAACGTCGTCGTTGTCTCTCGTGGTTTCGGAAACGTCATCGTCGTCGTCCACTATCGCGGCAAAATCGTGAACATTTCCCGATGCCGTGTAGACATCATTATTGGCTTTTGCGGTTACGTAAACGCAAGACGACGATCGCGGCAAAATCATGAAAATTCCCGACTTTGAAATCAAATTTAAGACTAAATCCCGACTTTTCAAGACCATTTTGAAATTCAATACTAATTCCCGACTTTCCCGATTTTCCCGACTACTAGACACCCTGTGGACCCCAGGAAAAGACCTTGCCATAGCAGATCTACTATCAAGAAGTCCTATTCCGGCTGACGAAGATGGCGAATTGACCGAAGAAGTGGAAGCCTTCGTCCACGAAATCAGTCTGATTAGTATAAACACTACAGATGAAAATGTGACAAAGGTACTTCACTCACAAATGAGAGATCCAATCTGTGCACAACTTAAGTTACAAATTTTAGACGAATGGCCTGTAAAATCAAGTTTACCTAATGAGATTCAAGAGTACTTTAATGTGAAAGACGAGTTAAGTTGTATTGATGGGCTATTGCTTCGAGGAACTCGGATGATAATACCTCAAGAACTACGAGCGGAAATGCTCGAGAGGCTTCACAGTGGACACTTGGGAATCACAAAAACAAGGAAACGTGCTTTGGGAACCATGTGGTGGCCTGGAATTTCTCAAGAAATAGAAAGGAAAATCAAATCGTGTCCAGTGTGTATTCAGAACTCAACTAATCACAGTGAACCATTGATTCCGAGAACTGTACCGGATTACCCGTGGCAAAATGTGTCTGTTGACTTGTTCAAACACGAAGACAAGTGGTATATGGTTATCGTGGATCACTACTCAAGATACTTTGAAGTCGAGGAAATGCATCGAATGAGGGCTTCAGATGTGATTCGGGTTTGCAAAACCACATTTTCACGTTTTGGAATTCCTCAACGTGTTTATTCAGATAGTGGGACACAATTTCACCATATTGGCTCAAGTGAATTTAAATTGTTTGCAAAGGAGTGGGGGTTCTCCACATTCAGAAGTAGTCCCCACCACCATCAGGGAAATGGGGCAGCTGAAGCAGCTGTGAAAGTAGCAAAAGGGCTAATGAAGAAAAACAAGGATAAATTTGAACTTGCCCTACTTTCTTACCGGACCTCACCTCTTGAAACCGGCTTTTCCCCATCTGAACTTATGTTTGGAAGGAAATTAAGAGACAATCTTCCATCTACTTTGGTTGGAAATCCTGTGGAAAATAAGAATTTTCTTGAGAGGGAGAATAAGTACCAGAATAAGTACAAGATACAATTTGATAAACGACATGGAGCGAGTGGTTTAAGTGAATTAGAAGTTGGAAGCATGGTATGGATCACAGATCTACGTCGACACGGTAAGGTAGTCAGGAAATTGAACGAACCACGTTCCTACCTTGTGGAAACTGACAAGAGAACTATTCGCCGAAACAGGAAGTTCTTAGTTCCTGCACCGTACTACGGAGGAGATGGAATTCTTTCAAACTGTTCATCCATGGTCCTTAATCGTCCATGCAACTCACGTGATCGTCCAGGAGCTGGCACAGTAACCCGTTACGGAAGGTCCATTAAGAAACCGAGGCGGTACTGAGGTTCATAACGATGTGGACATCTTGAAGCGGGATGTTGTATTAAGTCTGTTCTTTTATCATGTGTTTAAATATGTTTGTTGTCAGATGTTTTTGTAAACATTAGTTTAGTTTGAAAATAGAGTTTGTTCAAGCAAGATGTGTGAATAATATTCTTGTATAAGAAATAGAACAGATATGAAAAATGGTTACTAACCAAAGAAGATGAAAAGAAGCTAATAATTTTCTAAAACAAAATTCTCAGACAAATATGTGGCCCAATTGAAGACGAAGGAATTTGGAGGATTAGGACCAATAAAGAATTTTGTGAGGTCTACAAAGCGATATTACTGCCTTAATTAAAAGCCAAAGACTTTGATGGGCAGGACATGTCTACAGGAGTCAGTCTTGAGAACAGTGACGGATGCTGTACCTGTAGGAAGAAGACCTTTAGGACGCCCAAGTCTGCGATGGTGGGACCAAGTCCGGAGGGATATGAGAAGGATGTCCGTTTCAGAGGAGATGATGAAGGACTGAGAAAGATGCCGCAAAGCTGTTGGAGAGGCCAAAAACCTGCTTAGGTTTGAGTGGCCAGCTAGGTAAGGTGAGATAGGCCCTAATATGGATTTGTGTTAGATACACAATACACAACACTTCTTAAACCACTTGTTAAAATATGAAATGTACTTTTATTTAATCCCAACTTTTCTAAACTTGAGTTTGTAGATGAATTGACAGGAAAGGCTTAGTTAAATTTAACAACTACCGGTAGGCCTAACCTAATTTCTGATAGTGTTTAATTTAACCTATATGGGTTTTATGTCATTACAATAATTTAAAGATTTGTTTGTGTTAAGTTATAGAATTGTTCATCTAGAAAGTGTTAACCGCAGATTCCTCAATAATCTTTATCTTTTTTAAATAATAACATAGATAGGCTCCGATATTGCTTATTTTGAGTCTGACTCGAAGTAAGTTACATTAATTTGTTAGTAGCCGTACTGAGCCCAAAAACTTCCACAGACTCCTATTTTACTGAAATCAAAAGAAAATTTTATAGATACATTTTATGACATACTTATTCGACTCTGAACTTTAAAGCTGAATAGTTATAAAAACATTGATTGTGAACTAAGTAGGTACAGCTTATGAAAAACACGTGGAGAGTAGCACCAATAAGTTAAAAAGAAATTGAATTAATTCAGTATGGAAAAGAGGGAATTGAGTTGTTTAACTTAATACGTATTTGCGTGAGAGGGAATCTTCTTTAAAAATTTAATAGGTACCTACCTACAGAAATAGGCTATGTGTGGTGAATGCCCAAGTAAGTTTATTTGTCAACATTCAATCCAAAGTCTCTTGTAAAGCCTGGACTTCAGTTCTAAGTAATTTAAACATTTTCAAACAATAATGTTTCGGACTAGAAATCGTATTTTGAATGAGGTCATCCTCACGGTTTCCATGTAACGGTGTGTTTGTTTCTCAATGCACATGATTAAGTTATATTAATAAATTTATAGGTTAACTTAATAGGCACTAAGAGTAGGCCTAGTAAATAATTATAGGTAACTTAGCCAAATAATAGGCTATTATTTAATGTATAAGTGGAGCGCGAGAAAACATTCCAATGTGGTGGTGGGTCACCATACCAAAAGGTTTGGGGAACCGCTGGTTTACACAATATCAAAGCCTGTAACTTAAGTTAAGATAACTTAGACCATACAAAGCTAAGTTAGCCTACATTAAGTAAGTTACAAAATCCTAGAGACTTTGCCTCTGTAAATAGGTAGACCTATGAGAATGAGAATGAGAATGATGTTTCCTGGAAGCATAATATGTAGGCTACAAGGAAACGTCAATGACCTAGGACTCCTGACTAGGCTAGGCCTACCTTGAGGCAAGATTTATGGATTGCATATTGGCATAGTCTGCTCTTCGATGATACAGGATCTTAGATCTTACATTCCGCAGACTATGGTATTCGTTTTGAATGTCTGGAGTCTGGATAAACCTAGGCTCTAGATTGAGGTTAACACATAGGCTACAGTTCAATTTAGACTTGAAATGACTGATACATTCTCCTATTACAGAGGCGTGCAATGGATTGGTCATAAATATCTTAAAATAATTAGTTACTTACCGCATTTTGAATTAGAAACAACTATTCCACGGCCGACCGAGCCCAAACTTTTCAGAAGCATAGTCGTCATTGTGCACAGTTATTAATATCACGAATTAGGCAAAATTCAAACACAAGTACAAATTAGATAAACTAGGGTTATTCGAAAAACTCAAAATAATTAATGTGAAAAAAGTATTGAAACTAATTAATTAGATTTGGCATTTGCACTTGGCAGGTTAGAAAGAATAACAGGTGATTACGATGATGACGTGATGACAATCAGATTTTTATGGCTGGCCGACTAACAGTCTTGAGACAGGATACGGAGGAAAAATAAAGGACACGTAAGGATTGATAACTGACATGGACGGATGTCGCATAAAAGCAAACTACTTGTATCAACCAACGTTCCGTTCACTACTGTGAATTTAATTGGCGGAATTGAATGACAATGCGGAAACAAGCCTATGACCTTTGAACGCACAATCACTTTTCATTGTGTAACGCTCTTTTTATCATGAAATTTACAAACCAAAATAATAACTTTAGATCATAGGGCACTTTTGATGGCAAGTTTTCAATCAATCTAGATTGTAGCTAAAGTAAAGTACGGTATGTTAGTATAACAGTATGGTATAAATTGATGCAAACATAATGAGCAGCATTTACTTAGCAAAAAGATTAAGCTTAAATATATGTTTATACAGTACGATAAATTGTGGTGCTCTACGTTTTAGCGAATTTCACTAGGGAAGTGGCTAACTACCGTAGGTGGCGCGGTAATTGGTGTGGGGACCGATATAATTTTTCATTTTGATGCTCCTTCCTAGAGGCCAAAAACACTATTTGCTCAACTTTCAATACGTATATATACATCTCGAGACAAAAATTGGATATACATATCTAGGGTGTATCACATGGCGAAAGTAAGACGGTCTCGCCTAAATGAACCGAACCAATATAGCTAACTTTTTTATTATGAGATATAGAGTTAATTTCTTATGAGGCACTTTCATCTTTAGCGAATTTCCCTATAGGGAAGAAGCTATACAGTAGGTGGCATGGTAAGACCTACGCTTGGGACCGATTTACTTTTCCATTTTGATGTCCCCATAGGCCAAAACCACCATTCGTTTAAATTTATATATATATATATATATATATATATATATATATATATATATATATATATATATGTGTCCGTAAACAATTATTGATAACTTGAGTACATTTTCCGATTTTTATGAAATTTGGTTTCAAGGTGTAAGGCGGGATAAACGTGAATGTCGAGTTCGTGAACCAGCATGATCTGACCATGGGGACGGGGTTTTACGGGGGGTTTATGGGGTAAAAATTGGATTTTCTAATTTTGTTGACTCTCTAACAAAATTTCCCAATTTCTCTCCAGACCTTTTACAAGAGCTTTAAAAAAAAAATTAGTATAACAAAGTGTTTTTGTACAATTATTAGCTACGACGGAAATTTAAAAAATCGTGAATTTAAAATTCCTATGTTATTCTTATAGAGAATTGTAAAATGTTGTAGTTTGCTTGTTTATATGGATATATTATTTTGATCAAATTTGGTTAATAAATTTATTTTAAACTAATTAAGTTACTAAAAAACACACTTTTTTACCCTGTAGCAGCAAGCTTATGTACTTACAAAAACTAATGTTAATTAAATACATTTAATTGAAAATCAATTCAAGCAACTGGAAATTCACTTAGTCGGCAGGTTTGCGGCCGGGGTATTTATGCGTTTTTTTGGGATGGGATGGTTTCGAATTTTAAAATTATGCCCGCCAATTTCCAATATAGCCGTCAACTTTGTTGTTTCTTATGGAACACCCTGTTTTAGTTTTATAATGGTTTTAGAATGGAAATGCTGTTCTAAGCTACTCGTTTAGGAGTTGAAGCAATATGTTACACGTAAGAAAAAATACCCTATCTTGTGGAGTACATTTTCTGCATCCTGTAGCTCACAAACTAGTTAGTTAAGAGAGAAAATGCAAATAATAAAAGTCTTAAAACTGCATCTACATCAAGACCATAAAATGCAGTGTTCCGGTGGTTTTTGAAACAATGGAGTCAATATATTTTTAAAATATTTTATGATTTTATTATAATGTAGATATAATTTAAAGGCTATAATTTATTCTTTGCATTTTCTCTCTAAAACTTTCTCTTTTAGGAGCTACAGAGTATGCAGAACGAAAACCATAGATAAAACATATACTCCCTTAGTTTAACCAAAGATTACATATGCTTTAAAGTTTACTCAACATTTAAAGATGTTACTTTCAATGGATCCAGCTAGTCTAATTTTTGACCCTCAAAACCCAAAATTTGCCAATTTCTCTCCAGACCCTTTTAAAGAGCTTTAAAAAACAAATAATTTAGTGTATAGGTTTTAAAGTATACTACAGAGTAAATACCTAGGTTTAAGTGTGTGTTGCAAGAAGTTTAAAATTTGTAAATATTTAGTTTTAAACAATATGTAAATAGTATGTTTAATGTGCCTCTGATGCAATCTATCTGACATTGTTGGTCAAGGATTAAGGATCCAAGTGTCAAGTAAGTATATCAAAGTGTTTTTGTACAATTATTGGTTACAGAGAAAATAAAAAAAAATGTTATTTTAAAATTCCCATGTTATTCTTATGATATTGTAAAATGTATTGTTTATGGATATATTTTGATCAAACTTGCTAAATTTATTTATTTTATACTAAGTTATTAATATTTTACTAAAAAAACACACTTTTTACCCTCTCTGTAGCAGAAAGCCTAGCTACTCATAAAACCTAATGTTAATTAAATACAGTACATTTAATTGAAATCAATTCAAATGGAAATTTGCTTAGTCGGTAGATTTGCTGCGGCGGGGGTATTTTTATTATTTAGGTGCAGTGGAAGAACATTATGGCTATGGTAGATGTGCCATAATGTACATAAATATACTTAAATTTTTTTAAGTATATTTATAGCATACTGTAAATAATTAAAAGAACATCATTTTCTTAAACCGTGTCCTCTCCCATTGCAAACACAAAGCCAAGTATATCTGCCATGAGCATTTTATACTAATACGCCAACCCCGTACTAAGGACGGGTAACCCTACTCTGCTAGTAATTAATGTAACATCCAAAATAAAAAATAAAAGTTAATTGATGTTTATGTGATTCTACGTTGTTTTGTTAGGGTTTATAAACAGTGATATTCCTTATCTTCTAATGTTTATTAATTGTAAAACTATTTCCTGAGTGTGCTTTAATGATACACACCCCATATCAGTTGAAATTGAAACTTGATGTTGAAAGATAAGATTCTAGTGTTTATTTTGTGTGTGGCAACAGGTCAAGTAAACTGTAAATACACTTCTGCTGACTACTTAAAATCTCTAGATGATGTAATATGTAGATACATCAATGAGCCAACAGCAGAAGCGTACGAGCATCTGTATGAAGATCTCGACCTTTATAAAGATGCGCTGGAAAGTCTTTTGGAATGTGTGAAAGCAAAGGATATATCTGTACAGGAAGCTGTAATAAACTACTGGGCTTCGGGTAAGCCACGGTTCACCCAAGATTACGAGGTGTGGGTTTACAAGAAAATGCAAAGCTTCCTTCGTTTCACTGATTTAGAAATGGGAAAGTTTTTTGGCAAAATCGAAGAAGTGAAATCTATGTGGGACAAGTTCAAAGAGGAATGTGAAAAAAATATTGAGTTCTGTGCTCCACCAAAATCAGGAGAAAGGAAATGTCTGTATTTTTAGGTAATGTACAAAAGCTTAAATCATCTAAGTTAGAGTGAAGTAGTAAACTAGAATGAATTAGTAATTTTGCTATTGGGACAATCAAAATTTATTACATGTTGCCATACATTTTTTATTGTTTCCGTTTGAGTACCAAAAGTGGCTACAACTTCCCTATCAAGCTAAAAAGGACATTTTTTAAATTGAAGTAGTTGAAGTAGGAGACTTAAAGTTTCCACACTGAACTTGCTAAAGTGACTACAGTAATTACCATATAAAACATTGTGGCTGTAAACATTAGTTCAACTGTGATTCTTTAGGGTTAAGTACAACCTGGAAGTCCTGAAACTGTAAGACATGTGAAAAACAAAAAACAAAGCTGTACAAAAGAAGATATTGTTTGAAAAAAATGGTTATTTTTCAATACTGTTTTGCGTAAAACTGACAAGCCAGGTTTTGCATTACAAATCAAATTGTAGGTTGAGATTAAAATTCATGACATTTGAGATTGCACTATTCTCACAACAAAACTCTGTTGCAACATAATGTAAACCGTCCAATTTAGAACCAAATATGATACTGATGGATTACATAACTATTCATATAGCATGTATTGATGACACAGACCCCTTCACATGTTGGTTGTTCAAACCAAAGATTTCACCATAGATGTTGGGAGATAAGATAGTGTTTCTTTTGTTACTGACAAGCCAAGTTAACTCTAAATACACTACAGCTGATTACTTAAGCTCATTAGATTATGTCATAAGTAGACACATCAACAAACCTACACCAGAAGCTAGCGATCGTTTGTTTGAAGACATCGACAAATACTTAGATACTTTGGAGAATCTATTAGAGAATCTAAGAACCAAAGATCAATCCATACAGGAAGCAGTTGCTAACTATTGGGCTCTCGGTAAGCCAGGGTTCACCCAGGATTACGATATCGACGTTTACGAGAAAATGCAAAAGCAACTAAATTACACTGATCAACAAATGGGATTGTTTTTCGACAAGATCGAAGAAGTGAAAGCGGTCTGGGAAGAGTTCAAGGAAGAATGTGAAAAAGACAAAGAGTTCTGTGAACCAGTTCCAGTATTGATCAGCTGATAAATGAAGATTTTATTTTTCCTAAGTTTACATACATTTGTGTTATGCTTGAAATTGGAAGATTTCATGATGAAAATTGACAACTTTATAGTTAAACAGCTGTTATTACCGAAAAAGAAATTTGCTGATGATATTTTACCTAATATTAATTTGTATAATGTAAATTTGTACAATATAGCTAAAGCATTACGAAGACAGATTCCAAACACAACGCAAATTGTTGACACCTTGTATAAAAGAGGGATGACTAGGTTTGTTACGAGACGGAATGATTTTAATGATTCGGTTATTCGGAAGGTTTTTGAATGGGAAGACTATCACATGTACCATCTTAATTATACAATTGAAACTACTGAAAAGCTTAGAAGGAGGTTAGATTTTTGGCACTGTGCAAATCTAACTAGCCTAAATAAATTGGCAACCTGAAAAATAAATTTCATTATGATTTTGTTAATTTTGATTACGGTTGCAACAGATTGTTTCTAAGTTTCAGAAAAGTTTCTAGAAATCACTGATAAGATCAGAAACAACTTAAACTGTAATAGTAGGTCAAAATTAATTCGGTAAAAAATGGGAATTCATATTTTTTTTAATTTTTTTTTAAATTTTTTTTACTCTATAACGCTTCAAGACTACATATATTTGTATTTTATTTTTAGAAAAATTGTAAATGTTTTATGTATTGTGGAAATAAAATTGATTTGATTTGATTTGAATTACCTATTACTTTACATGTCCAGTATTTGAGATTTCAAAGCATTACTACTCAGCTTACATTTAATTTCATACATACTTCCTGGGCTTTTTGTTTTCGATATTATCCAACTATTCCTATTATTATTCCATCTATGAGATTATTTGTTTGTTAGCTTCTACAAGCTTTCATTGCTCAACAATATTTTGGTAAGAATTATCTTAGTGGTAAATAGTTTTTGGGTTAGAGTTTTTGAAAGTTGTTAGTTAATCTTTTCTTTGTTGTGCTAAATATTTAATAGACAAACACACACTTATTTTATATAGGAGTAATTTAACACTATAGTTAATAAATTTCATTTTCAGTACAGTTATTTGCACAGACCTAATTCTTTTTCTGGTTAAGTAGATTTGTTATCAAAGTTAATTATGTCTTTATCTCTATTTACCACATAATTTGTATTTTAATCACCAAAGTATGCAATGTTTTCAACAACTAAAATGTTTTGGTTTATGTTTATTGTTAACTTATCCATTTGCCACTCTTTTAAATATACCAATGCAGATTACATGGACTCATTAGATTTTCTGATTTGCACTCAGATAAATGAGCCGACTGCATCATTTTGTGACAGTTTGTGTGAAAACTTGGACAAATACTACGACAATCTCCAAGCTCTTCTGGACAGTTTGCGCGAAGGGGACACACACAATTTTGAAGCCATCTCAGGTTTTTGGGCTAAAGGAAAACCCAAATTAACTGAAGAACTTGACCCTGACAAAGTGGAAAATCTCAAAACAAGTTTAATTCAAACAAACCAAGACATTAACATGTTTTATGAGAGAGTTGAAAAAGTTAAAGTTTTGTGGGATGAATTTAAGAATGAATGTGAAAGTGGAAAAAATAAATATTTATGTGAATCAACACCTGACTTTTTTAGTTAGTTTTGAATTAAATATCAATTTGTTATGTGTATCCAGTTTTTTGTTGCTTATTATTACAAAAATATTAGAAAAGTAAGCTTCTCACTATAATGTGGTCTTTAGGGAAAAACCGGTTCACATTTTGGGATCTATATTAGTGTTCAATTAGGCCTATTACTATGGCACTCGGCAAAGAGGTCCAAACATCAGCCTACATCATGTTAGTGAAGCGACACTGTTTTACTCTAAACACCATAAACATGTTATTGGAAAACAAGTTTTTATAAGCAAATATAATCCTAGGATATACCATAACCAGTGTCAAAGTTCTTTTGAAATCTATAAAAACCTGCTTAATCTATCAAGCAGTTTTTCTTAGGTTACCAGAAATAATATAAAAAAATAATTGAGATATCACTAAACTTATACTACCAATAACATACATTTTCACTTACACTGTTGGCTACCAGCCCATTGAGATTCTAATCTTAATCTGTTCCACAAAATACTGAACAGAAATCTCATAATTTTTAAAAGCGGAAAAGAGAAAACTGACATGTAGAAACTTTGTAGCATAATTTATTGGACAAGATTACAATGGCTGAATAAATATATGTACATTTTCTAAGTCTTCTACTGGCCTAAAGGATGTTATTTGTCGAAGACGTCTCCGTAAGCGTTTGTAGGGCGGAACGGGTCGTGTAATTCTGCGATAGGCGACGGTCGGGGGATGTCATCCAATGGCCTATTAACAGATCACAAAACTTAAATAACATATATTCAACAAATAATCACATGTAGAATTACCTGATTGATACTATTTTTTGCATTAATTTATTTGTTGCATCAAATGCAATATGTATTAGAAAGTAGAACGTATAGTAATAAACATTCCAAGTGCTAATATGCAGTGGCACTGTTCCGAATCTCGTGATTCAGTTTACAGAAGACGATACAGACAGCGATGAGAAAACAGATGGTGACTGAAACACAGAATTCACAGAAGGATTGTTGTTAATTGATACAATATTAACAATTATTTAAACATTAAATTATTTTATTTTTTATGGGTATAACATTGTTTTATTTGTTACAGGCCACAAAATAAGGTAGGCTTAGTCTCAAAACCAATTAATACAAATTAAAAAATTATACAATGGATCCATAATTGGACTATGCACGAGGTAGTAAACGAGAAAACATAATTTACTTTCCTTTTGTAAAAGTTTCCTACGCCAAAGGCTGATATGTCAGAGGACAAAACAGAGTTTAGTGTGATAAGTAGGGTTATTATGAAATATTTAGCCTAAACAACAACAAGGCAGAAGTGACAATAGCAGCTGTTGACCTTGTACCCCCAGTTCTATTTGAGTTGATTTTAACATAGATTTGATTTAGAAAATGTATTGGTCAATATTTATTTGTGTTCAATAAATATCGATATGAAACTGTATTGTACGTAGTTAAATATTAGTAGATATTTAAGATACTTTGCAGTTCAGAATATAATTTACTTGTTTCATTAGTATTAAAGATGAGCTTTTAGCTCCATTGCTGCCTACTAACTGCCAGCCAGTGTCTAAACAGTGTTATGAACAATAATAATGATACGAACAATGTTAGCAGTTTCAAAAGAATAACTGCTAAAATCTTCAATTTCAAAATTTTTGAATCTAAAACTCGCTGATGGAATCACAAAACCGGAGCTTTCTTAAGGTTTTGATGGTTTTGACACATCACTACCCAATACACACGATAAACATCAATTTAAAAATCTTAAAAAATGAGTTTCAAAAGAACGAAATACAAATTATTCTTACCTTGACGAGTACAACGTCTTCTGTTTCTTCTCAAACTCTTCTCTATTCCTCCTCCTCAGTTCATCATAAGAGTTGGACTGGGCAGACTGTGGAGGCAGCACAAAGTCTTCAGGGCTCTGTGGGTTAGCTGTACACAACACAGTAAATTCACCTGTTAATCATCTTGATACAAGCTTGTTAATAAAGTCAAACATCCCATACACACAGCGCAGAATTCCACCATTAAACACTACACCTGTCCCATTTGGTCCAGTCCTGTCCAGCCAGAAGAGGTGGCTACAATTGTACGATATTCGGAAGGACACATATGTTCTACACAATATTTTACATTTAAATAACTTAACAAACATAATTATCACAATGAGTTCTGACAAGTAATATTCTACAATATTATACACTATAGGATTCTTGTTATATTTGGTTTGTATTGTAACTATTTAGTTCATGCTTACATAAATAGTTACCGTAGTTTATTTATGGTCCAAGGTGAGTGTAAACCCAGCTTAACAGGACGCACAGTTTCCTTTTATAACAGGGAGGAATCCCTCCCTTTGGTATAGAGTGTTTTGTTACTAAACTTAAACTTGACTTGGAGTGGTGAATTCCACTCCTCCACGAGGAAATCTGGATATAGCTGAGAAGTCGCGGAACCCCCCCCCCCTGATCATCACCCAAATTTGGGAAGTGAGTGGCTAAATTTGTCCGGGCCGCTCTGCTTGCATCCGCCAAATGGGGATGAATGCTCCTTGGATATTTCCGCATTATGAAGGATCGCACAAGTGTAGTCACTGCTTTATTGTGTTATTGTGATGTTACTGAATGACATCCAATCCTGTTGGTTAATTTTGAACCACATTCTTTAGCGTGTGAGTCATAACAAATACTTGAATATTTTATTGATGCAGCACTCTGCCACTTGGACAATTAATTGGTCTGGAAATCTCATTACTTGTATTTTATCCATAGCTCAAATTAACAAAGCGCTACAAATAAAAGATTGATGTAGTAAGAAACTACCCTTGTGTGAATAATTTGATGCTATTAATATCATGGATTTCTAAAGCACAAAAGGAAATATCTTCGATAAACTGAGTATTATAGGCTAATGCTGTTTTTACATATTATGTATTTGATCTCTCTAGTTTTCAGCATGAGGAAAGATCAGTTAAAGGTTTTTAAAGGGGAAAACTAGCACTGGATTGTAAACTGCCTTTTGTTTCTTTATTTGTTTTTCCATTAGTTAGCTTGAAAAAAGATAAAAAATAAAATAAAAATGAATGCCCCACATTTGTTTCAAACATTGAAGTATTTTTGGCTATACAAACATACACATTCTAATCACAATACTTTTATACGTCTCTCTGACTCACACCAGTACTGTAGCATTGCATCCCCATTAAATGGAAAGTCTTACGAACTAAACACCAATCCAAAACGTTCTATATTATAACTTTACTTCATATCTCTTCAACTCACAATCAAAGCTGTATCTGTATGCATCTTCTGACTGGGTGTATGGTCGATCAGTGTCCAGGTCCGTGAATGTTCTAGTAGACAGATCGTCTTGATAAGCGTCTCTGGGCTTATCTTCTGTTAGAGCAGGCATTGGATAGCCTGGCATGTCCAGGGTCAACCTAAACACAAAATAATTTGGGTCCTTTTTCAATAGTTAAATTAATAATGTAAAGTTTATGGATGAATCTGATCTATGGATGAAATGTAAAGGTAATGAAGCACAGAGTCCAGCCTAGTCTTAAAAGGCTTGAATGATTGAGCAAGAAGTAAGAAAATCTAGACATATCGAGCTTTTATCCTTGCAATATTATTGTCGGGAGCGTTTCATAAAGTCCAAATTTCACAAAGTCCAACGGTTAAAATATTAAATAAACAGAGCGTTTCACAAGGTCCAAATTTCATAAAGTCCAAAACTATAACATTCAAATAATCACCGTTTCACAATGTCCAAATTTCACAAAGTCCAATGTTAAAAAAATCAAATAAACAGAGCATTTCACAAGGTCCAAATTTCATAAAGTCCAAAACTATAACATTCAAATAATCACCGTTTCACAATGTCCACATTTCACAAAGTCCAACGTTAAAATATCAAATAAACAGGGCGTTTCACAAGGTCCAAATTTCACAAGGTCCAACGGTACAGTCTGGGCCAGAAGTCTCTACAGTGGTTGCCACGGTTAGATAGCAGGCACTGTCCGCCGGCGCTCAACTACTGATTATTGATTACTCCCTGTTGCAGCAAACCTAAGTACGGTACTTGTTAAACTAATGCTATTTAAATCAGGAATAAATGTGATCATTTTAAGGAGATATTCTAGTGTAAATCAAATAAGGGATATGGAAATTCTATGAGTCTGCAGGTTTGCTGCGGAGGGGTAAGTAAATACCACTATTTTACACTCTTTACAACGTATCTACGGACCCACAATGATGTTTTGTGACGCGCGGCAACAACACTAGATCGTGTAGTGCCTAAACCGAACCACGGCAACCTCTGCAGCAACTTCTGGCCGAGACTGGACCTTGTGAAATTTGGATCTTGTGAAACTCTCTGTTTATTTTATATTTTAACATTGGACTTAGTGAAATTTGGACATTGTGAAACGGTGATTATTTGAATGTCATAGTTTTGGACCTTATGAAATTTGGACCTTGTGAAACGCTCTGTTTATTAATATTTTAACCATTGGACTTTGTGAAATTTGGATCTTATGAACCTCACCCTTATTGTCATTGCAAAATGTATCAGTAAAGATTATTATTACAAAGATTATTATTAGACACAAACATTTATAATAATTATAACAATCAGAGGAGATGTTTATGGTTTGCCCCCAATCACTGGTGATATTCAGGATAATTTTATATCTACACATTATAGACACGATGACGATTTGATAAATGTGCCACATACAACAGTATAATTTCTTATCCTATACTGCTTTTGTATTGGTAAATGTATCAGATATGCTTTAACCCTTTGAGCTTTAAATGCTGATATGTTGGATTTAAGAGTATAACTTACATTATCAAACTTCCACTCACAACATATGTATATGAAAGCTCATTAAAAACTGCTGAAAGCCATCTATCAGATAGCTTGATTTATAGTTCAGAATAAATGTTAATTATTTTAAGAAATATATTCTGTATATACAATTAATTTCTACATTTAAAAGTCCTTGGAGCCTAGAAGTTTTAACTTGTAAAACAATTAAATAAACTACAAAGAAAATTCCTAATCCCATAGTTATATAGTAAATATCCCATAGTAAATATTTCAGGGGGTTTATATTGGATTTCAATGTGTAAGCTATAACAGGGAGAAAATTCATTTCAAGACAAAATTAAATCAATTTAGGCTAACTTACCGTCTAAGAGGTTATAATGAAGGTGTTAACAAATTCAATCCTTTAAGCTTTATGGAATACTAACGTGTCCTGGAATCCTCCTCTGCCCTGTTGTCTGCGAGCCCGTAACATGGCCCCCAGCTGACTGGTGGGGCTGGCCATCAGTCTCTCAGCACAAGTCTGTTGGTAGGAGATCTTACCGGCGAAATACCCAGCAAATACGGCAACAATAACTTTAGGCGTCGGTCCCCATGAAACACTTCCTCTCATGTACCCTTTGAAAATATTGAACACCATTAAGTTTACTGATTTTAGTTAATTCATAAGTTAACTTAGATTAATTTGATTTTGGTACATTGTTGCAGATATGTTTGGCTGAAACACAACTTGCTAAGGACTTTATGCTTTCAAAAGGCAACAATCATAATTTCAATTTGTAAAGTTGGTGATGTGACTGTGCTAGACAGTGTTGGAAAGTCTTAGTTTAGCTTTAAAGGGGTTATAATCAACAATTGTGTTAAAACAAAATTAAGTTAAGTTATTCAAAGTTAAAAAATGCAACAAAAAATACTAGAAAAACAATTAATTATTACCGTAGTTCAAAAATATTTTATACAGTAGGCCCAGTAAAAATTCCAATAGATTAATTAACAAAGCAAATAACTTAGGTTTTAAAAAGTTTAAAATCAAACATAGTGATATAAATTATAAATGTTAACCATTTTCCGGGTTTGCCCCTAGTTCCACCCTTTTGACTGCGATTTATTCCGTACAACATTAACATATTTCTTTAGTTCCTAAAGTTATGTTATTTTGTTTGCTTTTTGCTATCGATTCTTGCCTTATGAATAACATTATAGTCTGAAAATTATAGACCAATATCAATTGTTCCGATTTTCTCAAAAGTTTTTGAATCTCTGATGCACAAACAACTTGCTGCTCATTTTGATAAGTTTAATCTGTTATCTGATTCTCAGCACGGCTTCCGCAAAGGAAGATCAACTACATCAGCTGTCATGGAGATTGTTGATTACTCTTTAAATGCATTTGAGAGCAAAGAATCAGTTGCTGTGTCATTGTTAGATCTGAGCAAAGCATTTGATTGTGTTCCTTTCAATATCTTAAACTTGACAAACTTAAATTTTATGGAGTTCAGGATCAATCACTTAGCATATTCCGGTCATACCTGAATGGTAGGAAACAGTATGTTTCCATTCAGGGTGCTAATTCCAATGTTGTTGATATCAAAATGGGAGTGCCCCAAGGTTCTGTGCTTGGGCCTTTCTTCTTTATAATAGCCATAAATGATCTTCCAAAGAATCTAAGATCTGAGTCAGTAATATATGCTGATGACACATCAATTTTTGCTAAAAATTCGGACAAAATAGAGCTCTTCAGACAGGTGGGTGTGGCCCAGGGAGATGCATTGAATTGGTTTTCCACGAATAAACTACTTTGTAACCAAGGTAAAACTCAAAATATCATCCTCAGCACCTCTCTAAATCTGGATTTACAATCAGTCAAACTATTGGGTATTCATATCGATTCTAAATTGTCTTGGCATGTCCACATCAACAACCTTTGTAAAAAAATTTCACGGGTCAGCTATCTATTTTGGAAACTCAGGGAATCTGTGTCAGATGAATATCTAAGAATGACCTACTTTGGTTTATTTCAATCTCACATATCCTATAGGTTGGTTCTCTGGGGACATGCAACTGCTGTATCAGATGTTCTCCTGATACAGAAAAAGGTTCTTAGAACTATGTGCAGAGCTAACAGATTGGACCACTGTAGACCTTTATTTAAACAAATGAAAATGTTAACAGTAATTAACTTATACATACTACATATTCTAATTTACACTAAAGCTAATCTTCACCTTTTTCCCACCAGGCAAGAAATACATGAACATGAAACACGCAACAGGACAAAATTAGATATTCCACAGCACAGATTGACAAAATTCGGCATATCACACAAGGCAAATTGCATCAAATTTTTTAACAAACTACATGAATCATCAAGGACCTGCACACCCAAAGTCTTCAAAAAAAAGGTAACTGCTTGGCTTTTAGACAATCCCTTTTACAATACATATGAATATCTTAATACATGTATAGAAATTAGATTTTAGTTAGTCTTTATAGATATATGACAATCTGTTTTAATTAATTTCATTAATCATATGTGACAATGCCCATTTCATGTACATGATCAACGGCAAATAAATCATTTCATTTCATTTCATTTCATTTCATTTCATTATTTTAGACAAGCTACTGTGCTAAAGCTGGGTTTTCCTAGGCGCGGAAGTGGACAGCGGAGAGAGGAACGCAGAGAGCGGACTCCACTTCTCTTAGGTAATGTAATGTTACTGTTTTCCTAGAAGCAGAGCGGAATACCATGTAAATTTCAATTCCGCTCTCCGCGTTCCTCTCTCCGCTTCCGCGCCTAGGAAAACCCAGCTTAACAGGACGCACAGTTTCCTTTTATAACAGGGAGGAATCCCTCCCTTTGGTATAGAGTGTTTTGTTACTAAACTTCGACTTACTGTGTGTTCCAAATCGGCCAACCCACTGCGTGACTAAATAAACTTGATATAAAATTTGTTCATTACTAACCTGCTTTCACCGCCATATATGTCAGCCCTCCAAGGGTTGTTGCAAATGGTATACATCTTTGAAAAAATGCATCACGATTACATTCACCTATTATTTTCTTATCTTCTGGGGTAAGAACCAAAGGCTGAAAAAATAAAAGAATATATTCATATAATTGTGTATAACATTGATTGACAATGATCTGAAGTAGGTACTTAACTTAGCCTTTTTCTCTGTGTAGGCCTTTAAACCTAGTAAATTAAGTTATACCCTGTTTGCTCAAGAGAGTGCGGCTGGAACTCGCGCCTAACTGTGAAGGACACAACTCTCGGATAATAATTTCAATAGTCCATCCCAATCCCTTGCAGTTGAGCTAACAGGCTGTAGGCGTAACTTAGGGTGAAGTGGGGTAAGTTTAACCAGGGGGCAAGTGTAACCGCAGCTTATCAATCAACTGATAAGAGAGGTTTCAGCTTAATTGCCATCGTATTGTGTTCTCTGGACCTTGTTTTAAGGTTCTTAACCAATAATATGTCAACACACGGCCACAAGGGATGACCAGAATTTTAAACGCCATTGCAGAAAATGAAGATGATAACTACAGAGCCCGGTGTATTATCAGAATATTCCCTCACGATCATACGGAAGACGATGAAATCCGGGAATTATGCGTGAGTTTTAAAACGGGAATCATTCGTGAATGTTGTATTTCTACCTGAAATTTTCAATTTACCGCGATCGCGCGTTTCCGTGACTGTGAGAGACGATAATACGTCTAAACTTGGCCAAAAGGGATGATCAGAATTTTCCGCGATTGCAGAAGATGAAATCTACAGAGCCGCTAGGTATGTCCACACTACCCCGAGAAAACAGGAAGAATTTTGCCGCGATCGCGGAAGACGATGATGATCTCCACACGACTGCTGTATATAATTAGGGTTTTGCCGCAGAGGCGAGAGACAATTACGATGTCTTCTTCACGACCGCAGGAGACAATTACCATGTGTACAGGACCGCGGGAGATACAATAATGATTTCTGCAAGGCCACGAGGGATGATCAGAATTATGCCGTGATCACGCAAGACGATGATAATTAGCCTACATGACCACGGGAAAAGATCAGAATTTGGCCTCGTTTGAGGAAGATGATGTTGATCTCCACAAGATCACGGAAGATGGTTACCATTTTGCCGCAATGGCAGCAGGCGATTAGGCCTATTATGTCCACGACCGCAGGGGACGATATAATGATGTCTTCACGGCTGCGTGGGGTGATCAGAATTCGACCACAATCGCGCAAGGCAATTTATAGGCTATGTCTACACGACCGCGGGAATAGATTGTGAGAATTTTGCCTCATTCGCGGTAGACGATGATAATCTTCTCACGTCCACGGGATATTTTAATACATTACCCCGCGATCATGGAAGACGATAGCTATATCTACACAGCCGTGGAAAATAGTCAGAATTTTGCCGAAATCGCGGGAGACGATTACCATGTATACATGGCTGCGAGGGATTATCAGTAAGTTTACCATGATCGCATGCAAATACAACCACCATTATTTTTCCTTTTCAAATTTTTTGGGGCCCCCCCCAAGCAGCCAATTGCCTCGCGCTCTAGGTACGTGCCTACGGTGCATAAGTTATTCGGTATGGGCTAAAGGGGTGTGTACATCTAGGAAGCAAGTTAATGGGCCTTTTCAACATAGGGCCTAACTTATAAAACATAAATGTATTCTAGAAAAGGGAAAGGGGGTGCAGGACGGGGTAGGGGGTGCGAAGGATGAGTTAGCCTAAGATAAAAGGCAGTGGCACATGTTCCCAAAAACAATTTGCAGGATTCAGTCAGCCATGTTAACTTATGTTGTCACTGCCCTGAATCAACTGTTTTTAACTAAACTTAATGAAGCCTAGGCCTATCAAAAGTAGGCATAGAATAGTCATAGATCGATAACTTACAATCAAACTTTGTTATATACCCTAGGCCTAGTTTTTGGTCAGATAACTTAGACTATAGGCCTATTGTTTGTACATTTATCCAATGAAGTCGGATTCAATGTTTAACCAAGTAGGCCTACAATATTCAAAATACAAAAAAAATATAGAATTTCATCAGGCCTATTTTGAAAGGCTGGAGAATAGTTTCCGATGATGGTCAAATAGATTTACACTTGTTTGCAAGGATACTTACTGTAGGTGCAGTGGCCTGAGGAGAATGCAGAGGGTCAGCCGGGATTGTTGTGGTGTTTCCAGCCATTTATTTACGATTTTAACTAGACTCACACAAACACAAATCTTTGAACAGATTTATAGACCAATGATAATGATGATTCAAATCCAGCAATATTAAGATTTTACATTAACCTAGAAATTGCATAATCAAGACGAAAGCGAAGTAAACAAAACATAAACAATAAAAATAACTCAAGTTGCGCTGCACGGCTGCACTCTGCTTTGCACTCGCACGTTACGTCATATGTTTTCAAGACAGACAGAAGGCTCCAACCCAAGACTGCCAACGCTAACAAAAAATACACCCACCGCAGCAAACCTGCTGTCTAAGCAAATTTCCATTTGCCTTAATTGATTTTCAATTAGGTCTAAATCTATTTAAATAACATTAGGTTTAAGGAGTACCTAGGTTTGCTGCTGCAGGTAAACTAATAAAATGTGCTATTATAGATAATAATCTACTTACGTATCACGTATGCCAGTAGGTGTCAATTATTAATACTTGAATTATGCTGTACATGTTTCAAGCCTAAATACGGCTCATCTTCAGCAGCATTTTTCTATGTACAATTTTCACATCGAGAGATGATTGTCGACTATATACAGACCACATATACCAGCGAACACATAACAAAATAGAAGCGCTACTCGGAGCGCAGGAGCGTGGCAGTCTGACTAGCCGACGAAACGGACAAAGATGGCGGCGCTAGCCTAGTCCCGGCGTCTGCAACGCGCTGGTCGTCTGCTATGCTTCGAGTCAGTGTTGTTTACATAGGCTTTGTTGAAATGTAAAAATACTTTTGTATAAAAATTACTTAGGTTTTTCTGGAAGTACATTGTCGTATTAGTATATTGTTGGAAATGTCTTAAAGTAAATCGATTGTTTTTACCGTAGTAAATCGATCTTTTTATCGCGGGAGAAATTTTCGTTTACAAATATATATCTGTTTAAAAAACATCTTTGTTCAAATTATAAATCTGTCATATTAGTGTTATTTTATTTCTTGTGTCACGACAAACACGATGACATTTTGAACGACATTTTTAGCGTCTTATTAACGATGTTAGCATACGTTAAAAAAAAACATCACCATAAAGACTATTGTGAGTAAAAATTTTAGAATGCATGGAACTGTTAACAATAAACCTACCAATAAGCCATAACAATTTCAGAAAGATTGGCTGAGTAGTTTGTTTACAATTAAATTTTAAACTTCAGTGTTAGTGCAGAGTTTCTTAAAAATCGGTACTTTTTAGGATCTTTCAACTATATAAATTTTTCTGGTAAACGGAATTTTTTTAAATTGTTACCACGTAAAATGTATTTAACCCAGATTATATTTAATTTTTGTCTCAAGAAAATCTGGTAATTCATCTCAAGAGATATTTAGGCTCAAACTCGAGTGCACATATTTAATTCCCCGACAGTAGTCCCGGCGTGTGCAGCGCGCTAGTCGTCTGCTATGCTTGATGAGAATAGTGAAGATATAAAGTTAAATGATTTTAGTGTAAAGGAAAACAATGTAATTGAGGACTTGACGAACAAAGTACTTGGACAATGTGTAGGTGTAAATTTGTTTCCAAATAGTACACATTTCTCAGGATATGAAACAATATTGACAAAAATCATTTTTGTTTAGTACCTAATTAAAATTATTGCTAAAAAATATTCCAATGTTAGAGTTCGCTACTACTGTAAAATAAGTAACGAAAGTCTTCACAAAAAATAAAATCAGGCAACATCTCAATAAAACTGTAATTTTTTTGGGACAATAAATTGAGTGTGATTTTAAAATATATTTAGGAAATTTAATTTAACTTACATAATTATCTTTAGATTATCTTGAATGATATTGAAAGCTAATTAGTCCTTAAAAAGTTGTGCTAAACGGTTGAAAATTCTACATAGACAATATATTTGAAAATTTCTTTAATATATACAATATTACAGTACAACAGTATAAAACATTAAACACATTGCACGCTAAATGTATAGAAGACGGCCGGCGGCGCAGCGGGCGTGGCGCGGAGCAGCGGCAATGGATCCCTTTTGTACCTGATTTTTTAGAAAACCGAACATGATAAAAAATTTTGGTGAATCGTATAGTTAAATTTGGTTATTTATCCACAACTTTCCCGCTGACGAAATTTCTCTGACCAAAAAATAAAAAATTTCCTCGCAATACAACTTTTTCATGTCTGAAATTGAAAAATTAAACTACATAAGTATTAAACATATTTATAACTCAATTACTATCGTAACTAATAGTTTTATATTAACACCATCGTTTTCCTCAGTATCATATCTACAAGTGTGCAAAATTTCAGAATTTTTTGTCAACTATTAATGTTGTTTATGATCGTGTATTTGTCGCGGGGTTTTTAATGCGAACTGTGCTCGCGGGTCTTGGATTCAGGCTGTATGACGGACCAAGATGGCGGATTTGGCCACACTTTAAGTGCATTTGGTTAAACGCCGTGTCCTCTCTATTATTGTTATTATTATGTGCTCGCTGACATATACACACAAACACAGAACGTTTTAGCATGCTATTTTTATTATTTACATGTGTTTTTGTAGCGTACGCTCGTTTAAACAATACCCGACCGGACGACATTTGTAGGCCTACTCGTCGTCCGGTCGGGTATTGTTTAAACGAGCGTACGCTACAAAAACACATGTAAATAATAAAAATAGCATGCTAAAACGTTCTGTGTTTGTGTGTATATGTGGTCTGTATATAGTCGACAATCATCTCTCGATGTGAAAATTGTACATAGAAAAATGCTGTTGAAGATGAGCCGTATTTAGGCTTGAAACATGTACAGCATAATTCAAGTATTAATAATTGACACCTACTGGCATACGTGATACGTAAGTAGATTATTATCTATAATAGCATATTAAAGGTGTCAAGGCTGATTAATTTGATATAATAAAATGTGTTTTTTAGTGAAATATTAATAGCTTAGTATAAAATAATAAACATTTGTCAAGTTTGATCAAATTATATCCATAAACATAAACAAGAAAACTACAACATTTTACAATATTCTCCATAAAAATAACATAGGAATTTTTTTTAATTAAAATTTGTTAATTTTCTACGTAACTAATAACTGTACAAAACACCACGGATACTAATACTTTGATATACTGAATTATTAGTTTTTTTAGCTCTTTAAAAAAGGTCTAGTAAGGATTTGGGAAATTTTGCGTTTTGAGGGTCAAAAATGATAAAAAAAACATGAATTTTACCCCATAACCCCCTTACCCCCCCCCCCGTTAAAAAAACCCCGTTCCCATGGTCCGATCATGCTGCTGGTTCGCGAACTCACTCTTATTCAACCAAAGTAACAAACACAGATTTGCATTAGTCATATCAAACAAAATATGTCTTTACATCTAAAATTATTTTTTTTTTTTTAATTTAAACTCATTTTTTTTGACTCAGGTCGCTTTTGCACTCAACTCCTCCATTTATGTTTTCATAAATCATTGATAAGAATTATTTAAAGTTTTTTTACGCATATAATTACCTAAATGTGAGTTAAATAGATTAAAGGTTGAATTAAATGCATATTTTCAGTGCTGTGAATTTCATCAGGACAAAATTAAATTATAAAACCTATAGTGTACGGGCCGGAATTTTATCCCCGTACTTTTAGGTACCCACTTTCAAAATGTACAGCCTGGATTTTTACCCCCTGTCCGGATAGAATTTGGTGAGAAAATTTATTTTGTTCATAATAGGAGGTGTTTTTAAAGAAAGACGTTTAATCAGTAGTTAACTATTATCATCATACTCCCCATCTTGTGTTGCTTAGTCTATGCAATTTACCGTTGTTCATATTAAACGTTACTAGTGAACCCGTGCGGCTCAACGCGCCGCAAAAATACATACATGAATTTAGAAAACAAATTCACACTGTCATATATTGACTCTGAGTCGAAAATAAAATACAGTAATGAATGAAGCCTTAGAAGGAAAGCAGTCCATCAATTTTCTAGCTCCATATGTCTTATATTTAGTAAATTAATAAGCTATCAAGTATTTCATAGTTATTTTAAGATTTTATAACACATTTAATAAAACATTTTAATAAAACCAATATGTAGCAAATTTGAAGAACATAAAAATGCTTCTTGAAGAAACCCCTTTTAAAAATAAACACAAAAAACCCTATTTTATTGACAACAGTACTTCCTTGAATTAACTTACTACCTAAGTTTTTATTTGTGAAATCACCTTCAGGAAGATTACCCTGGTCAGAATTTTCCGTGATGAATATGTGTACACCATCAAATATGTAGCCCTACTTAAAGCAACATATAGTTGCCCATGACTGAAAACTGGTCTGGGCAAGAACAGTACTACTCTTTTAAGTGATTGCCCTTGTGCTTTATTGATTGTCATTGCAAATGACAAAGCTTATGGAAATTGGCATCTTCCCATTTTAAATGTTAAGTTTGTTTCCGACGGGTACATTTTTATTCTCGGAATCAAAATATGTCCCCCCGCACTTGTTCTAGTTAGGACTTTCAAACACACACATTCTAATAAATTGTAACCATTTTGGTCACTTGGAGCCTTGTTCCATTAATGAGGCTCTTTGGTGTATTGAGATTCCTCATCAATAAAACCACACTGCCCCCTTGTTTAAAATCAATCTATGTCTTGGCAATCCACTGACCTCTATATTGTTTAAAAACTCTGTTGGACATTCTAGATGTGTGTTTAAATTATCTGCAAGTAAACTATCAATGCTTTCGTACACCTTGGGCTCACCAGGTAATTTATCCAAAACTTTGTTGTTGATCAAACCACAGACACTGTTTTTGGAGCTAAAATAGCTTTGTCTATTTGACCATTTTGTATACTTTCAACGACGTTTGGGTGGATGAAATCAACAGGGCATCCAACTCCTAGCAATCTTGCTGGCAAAATAAGGAATCAATTAGCTTTAGCCTATTTTGACTCTTTTATTTTCTGCTTGTGCATGTATTGCGTCATGAAGGTTCATGTAGCTCTGCTCGAAGTTTTGGCTGTTCCCTAAAACCGAGACGTTCACCTTCAATTCTCGTAAAAATTTCAACTATATATTGAAGTGTAACCTTACCACAACAGCAGAATACTGAAGTCTAACAGATAGCCTGTGGGCCGCGAACTGCAAATGTGTAACAGTGTTCCAGTGTGTAGTTG